CCAACTCAGAAAGCAGCTTCCTTGCAGACGCTTCAATAAGCTCACTGCCAGGAGATTTCTCTCCTTCTGAAATAACATTGGGATCCAGTGCATGGAACATTAAGACCCGCACTATGTCTATGGTACGACCCTCTGCTTCCTTACTCTTTAGTATCACATAAGCTCTATCACAACAACCCCGATGAATACAAGCACTACAAGCCTGCAAGCAAGCACGAGTTTTTAACAGTATACAAAACACAGCCTTCTGACATTTGAAAATTTCTAAAGAACGCATTTTTTTTCAATCACAAACAATTCAGGAACAAAGTATAAAAAAGACAAGCAAAAGAAACATACATCCTCTTCATCCTTTTGCACGTAAGCTCTCATTCTTTTAGCTGAATTTACAACTTTTCGAAGAATATTAGGACATCCACTCTCCACAACTGTTTGAATATCAGGTATAGACAATGATCTGCATAAGTTAAAAAAAAAAATTCAAGACCCAATAAACATTTCTTGATTCTCAAATATCTGAGAACTAAATTCTCAATCTTTTAATCTTCCCTTCATTTCATACCACTAATCAAATTTCAAATCCAACTGGAGAAAAAAGGTGGCTTACTTGAGAACATCATATCTGTCACGAGCAAAGCTAAGACAACCATCCCTTAACTGATTCAAATCAGTGTAAGGAATAATATTTTCATCCTCTGAAGTTTCCATGAAGTAACCCCTGGTCTTCAATTTATCAACAAAAGTTACCCACTCCGGCCATGGATGTTGTTTTTGTTTATTTTCTTGTTGAAGGGAGTTCAAGGTTTCTATGATATCATCATCTGTGGTCGCTGTGGCTGCAGTGGAAGACGAACAGTAGAGGTGGAATTGGAGGGAAGGGAGGGGTTTAAAGGAGATGGTTTTGTGGGGATGGCCGTTATTAGTTGTACGAAGGAAGAGCGAGGTGCCAAAGTTTACGAATTTAGACGCTGATGACATTGGTGGAAGATAGAAAAAGGAGAATGGTGTTTCGCAGAGTTTTCGGATAGGCAAAATGGCAGCAAGCAAGCACTGAAGAATGAAGATGACCTGCGGTACACACGCGGCTGATACTTGTGTGATGGGGATAACCTATAAGGCGCGTGTGACTTTTTTTGTGACTTTTTTTTTAAATTGTAGTATATTTCAATTTAAATTTTAGGATGTATTTATTTTTTGAAAAATAGTTTTTAAAGTTATTTTTTAAATTTTTATGTATTTATTTATTATAAAAAAGTTAGCCAATAATTTTTTTTAATTAAAAAAATTTAGCTTGATTTTTAGAATTTTTTTTTAATTTTGGATAGAAAATATTTTCTAGAAATTATAAAAGTTTTATAAATATTATGTTATTTATTAATTATATCAAATTTAATATCTTAAAATTTATTTTTATATTCACTTTAATTCATATTTTTATAATTATTATTTGTTTTTTTTTTTATTTTTTAATTGAAACTTTTTATTTATCAAACTCGATCTTTATTCTTTTGATTATTATTTATTTTATTTGAAATAATTTATAAAATAATAATAATTATTATTTTAATTTCTTCATTTTTTATTTTTTATTTTTTAAAATTAATCTTTATTATTTTAATTATTATTTATTTTATTTGAGATAATTTATAAAATTATATTTTTTTCAATTTCATTCTTATTTAGGGTTTTAATTTGTAAGATTTATTTCTTATTATTTTAATAAAATTAAAAAAAATAAAATATTAATAAGTAATTTTTCAACTCATTTTATTTTATATGATATTGGAAAATATTTTTTAGTTTATTTTTTATTATATTATTAAATATCAAAAAATAATTTATTTTTAAAAAAACTATTTTCTAACAAACAAATAGATTTAAAGATGGAATCTATTTTTTAACAAACAAATAGATTTAAAGATGGAATTTATGAAAAATTTTATTTTTTAAAAACTTTTTTATACCATTAAAGAAGTTCAATTGAATTTTTTTTAATTTAAAAGTTAAATTAAATAAAAAATTAGATGAAAAACACTGGTAATATAAGCAGTAACTCTCCAATTTATTTTACTGCAAAATACACTAAAATAGGCGTATTATACTGTCTTGAAGATAAACCAAATCAATGAGAAAATCTAATTCAAATCGAAGAAAAAACCGACATTGTTTCACATGGAAAAGGGAAGAACATGTTTTTGAATATTCAAAGCAAACATCGTCGTTTTGCTCCTTAATTCTGCAGATTTTCCAGACATTAAAACAAGAGCATGAACAGCTGACTCTCATTTGATCTCCAGGCTTAATTTTCGATTCTAATTAACCCTATTAACGGCGTAAAAACACAAGAAACATGAGCTCCAACATGCCAATTGTAATTATGATGTAAAGAATCACGATTTAAGCCCTTGGATCCACTCTAGAACAAGGATAATAATGGTAGATATGGATTATATCTATTCATATTCATACTCTATTTATTATTTATTAGTTAAAACATTTAAATATTTATAAATTATTTATAAAGTTATAGGTATTTAATATATATATCTATTATCTTATGTGTTATATATCAACATTAATGTATGTATGTATATATTACATTGAAAAAAAAATATTTTAAAAAAATATTTCTATAATATAAGTATATATTTTGGGTTATATTTAGGCAGTTTTTGAGTCAAGTCTAATAATATTTATATTATATTTATTATTTATTAAGTTCAAAAAAATATCTTTTTATTTGAGTTGTATCAACATTAACATTAAAAAATATATTTTTTAATATATATTAATATTTAACAAAGAAAAAGTGTCTCTATGTTAGCATAAAAAAAGGTTGTTTTTTTTTTTTACATGTGTTAGCATCCAATTAAAAAAACTTTCTTTATGTTAGCATTTTTTTATTTTCAATATTACATATTTGAACTTTATAATAAATTTATTAAACTCGTTACTAGATCAAAATAAAAAAAACTCGTTGAGCTAACATACTTAATAAACTCAAAACACCCAACCCTGTTTTGCTTTTTAAAAAGTTTATTGTTTATTTTCAATATTTAAAGCAAATGGAACCTTAAAATAAAATTTAAGAACTCTAGGTAGTAACTTAAAAATTAAAAATTAGAACTTTAATTTAGTTTTAGTCAACAAGTCTCTTTTTAGGAACCAAGTTTAATTCCAAATAAATGCAACTTCAAAGGATGAAATAAAAAAATCAAGGGACCAAAATGACAAAAAAAGAAGAGAAATATATATATTTGTTTTTCATTTTTTGTATTTTTGGAGTCAAGACTTGAAAAGTGAAAAATGGAACAATGAAGAAGGTACGATACAGCTCTGGGTCACCAGCCAGTAACGCCATCATCCCCACAAACGGGAAAACCCGCATTTCTTAAAACAAAAATCTCAAAAAATAAAAAAACCCCACATAAACCTCCTCTCTTCTTCACAGATCTCTCCTTTCTGTTCACGGTCATGAGAAGGGCGTCCACTCTCGCCTCTTCCGTCCTCTCTCGGACCCTTACCCCCACCCTCCACGAAGGCGGTGCCCTCTCCACCATCAACCACCGCTTCCTCCTTGTTGCACTCTACAGCACCACCAGCAATACCGGCAGTTCCCACAGTCGCCGGATCTTCAACCCATTCTCCTCGTCTCTCGGTGTCGCCGGGGCCTTAGTCTCCGCTGCCGCCGCTGCATCTCTCTCTCAAGACGTCCTCGCCAAGGAGCCACCACGGGCCGAGCTCGTGCCTAAGGAAGTTGTTCTTTATCAGTACGAGGCCTGTCCTTTTTGCAATAAAGTTAAAGGTCTCGTCTTTGCATGCAATTATGAAATACTTTTATGAATTTAGAGCTTTTTTAGTGTTATATTTAAATTTGTTGATTTTTTTGGGGGTAAATTTTCAGCTTATTTGGATTACTATGATATACCATACAAAGTAGTGGAAGTGAATCCAATTAGCAAGAAAGAGATCAAATGGTCTGATTATAAGAAGGTTCCTATATTGATGGTGGATGGAGAACAGCTTGTCGACTCTTCAGGTTTATTTTTTTTATTGTGATTTTATTGGGAAAGGGTTTTTGTTAGTTATATTGTTTGGGTTTTGAATTGTGTTGACAGATTCTATTTTGGTGGTGTAAATGTTAATTATTGACTTTTTTTGAATTGAATGTGAGCAGCCATCATTGATAAATTGAGAAACAAGATACATGGTAAGGAAATTGTAGAATCTGCTTCTGATAAGGATGATGATGAAGAGATAAAGTGGCGGAGGTATGGCCTCTCTTTTGCTCTGTGGCTTAGTTTTCTTTTTCGCTCATTTTGGTTTCTGGGGTTTCAATGGAGACAGTTGCATTAGTGGCGTCATAAATAGGGAATATTATTTTTATTTATTATTATCATATAAAATGGGAATGTTTAAATTGAGTGCAAATTAATTTTCCTGACAATGTCTTAACCTCAGTAAGCCTTTTCTTTTATTTTGGTGAAAAAAAAAAAAATTCTTTATGCTTTGGATTGGTATTCTTGGAATAGCATGTAAAAAGTAGTTTTGAACCTTAGCTTTTAAGGAGCTCAATGTGTTCAGATGGATATTCTTAAGAATTTTGAATGAATTGGTAATGCTTGGACTTAAGCTCTTGTCACATGAGAAGAAATGGATTTTTAATATGAGTTTTGGTTGGCTTTGTACTCAATTAGGTTACCTATCTACCATGGGAAAGTTAATAATCTAAGTGTCTAGCAATACTAAAGTGTCATAAAAAGTTTCTTATTCTTGTCATCATCCATGGAATTTAACTGTCCATGGAGCTACATGAGCGATAACCTACTTATCCATGGATGTGAAACTAAGAAATTGTATGCTGTATAAAATAAACAAATAAGGATATATGATGCAGGGAGTAGTGCCTTAACTCTTAAAATTCCCTTGGAATCCTATTTCTTTTTTTCTTTTTTTTTCAATCAAGTATCTGAACAACTGAAAAATTTAACATTAAATGTATTTGTTAGGGGAATGATATTGTGGTCATTTCATGGCAAACAATCTGTAAATGTGTACATGGTCGAAAGAAAAGATCTATATGCCCAAAATGCGTACATGGTCGAAAGAAAAGATCTATATGCGAATGGTTTTCTGACCAATTAGTAATGAAGATTAGTTTTCCATGATTTTCATGAACCCAGCTTAGGAAATCTTCTCTTTTTCAATGCAAGTCTATATATCTATCTCAAATTTCTTTTTGAATCCAATTTATCTCTTAGATTTATACGGGCGCCCTGTATCAGTTCCTCTGTCCTTGAGTCAAAACCTGCACATTTACATTTCAGCCTTGGATCTCCCTTTCAAAGTTCCATAATTGGTAATCTATCAGTTTTCCAATGGTTCTTCATTATTGTATCTTTTTGTGAAATCTAATCATGCAGAAGATATGGAGTTAGAACTTGCTTGATTTTGATGATTAAGTTATGTCTGCCTTGTTGGATGAAAACTTAGCCATGTGTTAAATTGATTGCAGTTGGGTAGGTTGTTCACTGAATTCTCTGTGTTTGGTTTGAACCACCAACACTCTCTCACATAACCATGAGTTCATTAATCTCTCGAGTTGTGACATCTTAAAATAGGTGTTAGAAAATTGTGTAGCTCAAATATTCTCATCCCGCATGCAGACCATAAGCCAATTGCAAGCACTGAATTCCTAAGACTAGGGATCGATTCCCTCACTGATTATGACATCAATTCATTGGGTCAGAGGTCCACATTGTTTCTTTCTTTTTGTTCCTTTTCCTTTCAAAATCATTTTAGTCTTTTTATGTGTTTTTAAATTCAAATAGATAAGCAATACTTTTCTTATTCTCCCTAATTCATGGTTCTTGTACTTAACTGGTGCATCTCTCCTGCTGTAACTTGTGCACCTTGACATCTATGCCACCGTTTACTAGCTAAATCAGGTTTTTTTCCTAACAAACTTCTCATTCTGGACTTAAATCGAATATTTTAATGTGCAAATAAACTTGCTGGATTGACCAAAAAAAAAAGAGCACTGAAAAATTCTAAAAAAGATTTCAGTTATTTAAGTTTGCTTATGCATATAGATGAAGTTATGTATCATTTGTAGAATTGTGTTTGGCGACATGCATGCTTGTGATCTGATGCATGCATAATTGCCCATGTCAGAAAATCAACACTCTCATACTCTTGCACATGTGATGCTTAGATAATTTGGTCTGACATTTTTATGCCATTTTTTTGTTGATGCTCATAAAACAGCTATCAACTTGTCATGTTTTTGTTTCTTTTCTTTCTTTGCAAGCACAATACTAATTAACTTCTAGTTGATTCTGGCATGCTAATGCTCGATCTTAACATACTATTTTTTGCTTAATTAGGTGGGTTGACAATCACTTGGTACATGTCTTGTCTCCAAACATATATCGCAATACTTCTGAGGCTCTTGAATCCTTTGACTATATCACAAGCAATGGTAAGATGGTCCATGGATAAGAATACCTGAATGAAACTGTAGCTTTCCTATGACTTACTCTTATTGGAACGATCTCTTTGGTTCACTTTCTGCTTTTTTCCATTTATGACTCTGTGCCATGATTAAGATGTACCTGTTAGTATATGAATCTTTTTCTCAATCATTAAACCAGGAAAGTCTGGCATGTTTCTTCTTATAGCATTCGCTTCATATACTTGTGATGCCTTGGAAAAATATTTGACAATTTTTGGACAACATAGTACTTAACTACCTACCTAGTCCCTATTCTTGTGCATATTTATATTCATGTGCATTTGCAAAACTAATGTTTGTAGATTACTGTAACTTTGTTGCGTTGATGATTATGGTGAAAAACATGATATGCTTGCGAATATGACACTATGTAAATTGATGGACAACATAACTTAACATTTTCCATAAAACATTGCAAAGCAATGATCATATAAGTTATTTGCTCCTACAAGAAGACTGACGTGCAAAGTTTGACAGTTAAGAGTTACAGCTTGTCACCTGCATGTACTAAATGCACCGTATTTTATAGGAAGTGCATCATTTAAGGTTTTTGGTTAGTCTAATAGTGACCACATTTTTCTGAGCCGACATTCATTATGTTAATGATAAGGTGACCAAGCTCTTGGGCAGTTTCACCTCATTTTCTATTCCTTAGGATGTTAGAGTTGGCCTTCATTTGTGTCGTAGAACAATTGATAATGACAAACTTGTTTCTCAGGACATTTTCCTTGTAAGAGCGAAGTGAGAAAACTTTTTTGTTCTTGAGAGGAATCTTATTTTGAGGGCAACATTGATGTTGCTGGTATAGAATATTGTGTCAGGATATTAGAAACAAAATGACTTGACACCCCTGTTTCATTGGGAATTTCTACATTGTTATACTTCTGGTCATCAAATAATTGATCCCCTTGGCCTGTCTTTAATGTTCTAGGAATGGTCTATGATTCCATCAAGCTTTAATTGTGCTATTCTGGTTTCACTTTCTGTATACCATCTCTCTTCTCATGTAATAGCATGAGTAGGCTGTTTTGAGGAGCCTTTTAAGATCAGGAAATTCATAATTGTATATAATTGTTTTATATAGGGATCACATTTACACAATAACTTCTTATAGCTATCCCTTTCATTTGTTTGCAAGTCACAGCTATCATTTCTTTCATGATTACTTCGTCATCCTGAACTCATCTCATATAGGTTCTAGGTTTACTTATTCCAAGTTGTTAAATGTTTGTAGAATTATGCTTTTAAGGACCACACTGTTATTCTGTCCAAAGTTATTAGTGAGATGGCATATATTTTATCCAATTATCTTGATTTCCTTGTAAACTTCTCCTGTAAATGCAGGTAATTTTAGCTTTACAGAAAGAATCACAGTCAAGTATGCCGGAGCTGCTGCAATGTATTTTGTGTCAAAGAATTTGAAGAAGAAATATAACATTACTGATGAACGTGCTGCCCTGTATGAAGCTGCGGAAACATGGGTGGCTGCTCTGAATGGCCGAGAGTTTCTCGGTATGCATCACTCTTTATATCACCACTCACATACTATGATCTACTTGATTAATAAATGTGGCATGCGTTCACTTTATGACCCATGCATAAACCCATTTTAAGCATAAAATTTTATTACATGGTTGTGACAAATGACTCAGCTTGAGATTCTGATTTTAGCCCTGCACAACCTTTCAAAGTTGCCATGCGACAGGTATTTATGGGATGTTCTTTTATGCCACAGGGGGGTCAAAGCCTAATTTAGCTGACCTTGCTGTTTTTGGGGTGTTGAGACCCATCCGCTATCTGAGGTCTGGTAGAGATATGGTGGAGCAAACTCGAATAGGAGATTGGTATACAAGAGTGGAGAACGCTGTGGGGGAATCCGCAAGGATAAAGGCTTAGAGTGGATTTATTTTGCGCTACTCGTTTAGCTTCCAGCTTCTACAACCACTGTATTGTGAAATACAGGAACCAAAAGATTTTACAACGATTTGATCATGAACAATTTTGTGATTTAAGAATTCAAAATTGAAGCTCATTTTTAGGAGGTAAAATAATGATTATTGTACGTATATATGGTGAAAAAAATAAAGAAAGTTTACGTGTGGATTGTAAAACTACCCACGGATAGTGATATATTTTCCACTGGTACATTACATAGCTACCGTTATTTCAATTTGACTATTGTTCGACAAATTCCTATTTGAGGATGGGATGTCATTGGAACTGGCCATTTTTTCTCGCCTGGTGAAAGGGCTATTATGATTCCTACGTTTGTTATGCAAATTTAATATTTTAGCCTGGATTATTGAGTGTACAGTCTGCTAAATTCAGTTGCTGCTGGAGCTTGTCCCTGATAAAGGTTAATCTGTTATCTGTTCAGCACTGGGAAAAAGAAAGAAAAAGAAAGAAGAAGACTGAATAGCAAATTGAAGCTCAATTCCGTTGCCCTTGTTTGGGAGATGCTTAATTACGGCAGTATAATCTGCATCGGATACCTTGTCCCTTTTGATTTCCTTTACATGCTTAATTCCCTATGCATCTGTGATAAGAACAGAATTCTTGGAAAGGAATCAGTAGAAGAACAGAGGTTTGGAAGATTGTGTTTGTGTTATTCTGCAATGCCTCATTCAATAGAATAAATAGAATAAATGAGCCTAAATAAGCCACTATTACAATATCTCTCATGATAATAGAAACTGAACTAGTGAAACTGAATATAGGAAAGCTTTTAACGACTTTCTTGATTACAGCTAATTATTCATTGACTATTTCAATTGCAATTAAATAAAACAAAAGGGAAATATCTAAGCTCTCCTCTCCATCTCTGCTCTTCAATGTCTGCTCTTCAATGTGTGCAACTTTCAGTCATGACAGGCCATTGAAGAATCATATCAATTCATCCCTCTAAAAAGGCCTTGTCCTCAAGGCTGAACCATGGGTAAGTTTTCCCACGTAGCATCTTCTAGGGAAGCTTCTTTTCATTGAACCAAAATTTTCGTTTTCAAACGGTATTTTTTTCTTTTGAATAACACGACGGTTCAAAATGAACTCACGTTCCGGTAGCAAGGATGCATTTGTTGAGACATGAGGAAGGGTTACTGTAGTAGTATTGGAGATTAGTCCCAATTTTTTCTTGAGCAAACTGACATGAAAAACATCATGTATTTGTGCCTTTGCTGGAAGGGCTAGTTTCTACGCCACCATTCCTCTTCAGGCAAGAAATTTGAAACGTCCAAAAAATCTAGGTGGCAATTTCAACGATCTTCAGAAAGCCACTAATTTTTGGCGGTAAGGTTGCAGCCGTAAGAATACAGTCGCCTACCTCAAAAGTGACCTCGCGGCGATGCAAGTATGCATGTGCCTTCATGCGAACTTGTGCTTCTAACAAATTATGCCGTAGTTCATAAAGAATGACCTCCCTTATGGTCAACAACCCGTCCAATGCTTGGACTTCTATTGTTCCTGGAAGAGGGAGGAGGAACACCGTAAACGGCTTCAAAAGGAGACAATTTAGTGGATGAATGATGGTAGTATTGTATCCATATTCCACCCACGAGAGCCATTCCATCCATCTTTTAGGCTGGTCAAAAGTGAAGCAACATAAATATTGCTCAAGGATGCAATTCACCACCTCGGTTTGGCTTTCGGATTGTGGGTGATAATTGGAATTGAAACTGAAACACAATGATGTCCACGACAGTTTGAACAAAGATTTCCATAAAGTACTAAGAAATATTCTGTCGTGATCGTTGATAGTGGAAAGAGAGGCACACCATGCAAACGCATAACACATTATTGACAAAACTGCTAGCTACGGATGTTGAAGGGTTGACCACCAGTCGACAACTAGACAAGGCCTGAAATTGGAAAGCGACAATGCGAGAGAGAGCGTTCACGCCATGATTTTATTTGCCTTTCTTGTACTGAATAGAGTAATCAAATCCATAATTTTTTATAGCCATCTTGCTTGTGAAGGCGTAGTAATTCTCTGCTCCAGGAGATATTTTAGACTTCGATGGTCTGTTTTGATGACAAACTGCTTCCCAAAGAGATATGGTCGTCATTTTTAAACAGCCTTTACCACAACTAGTATTTCTTTGTCGCAGGTTGACAGTAATGTAGCCTTCCCTTTTAAGGCTTCACTAAAATAAGCTATTGGTTGGTTCTGTTGAGACAATATAACACCTAAACCATCTTCACACGTATCACATTCCATCATGAACTACTATGTAAAGTTTGGTAGCCGCAATATTGGAGGTGATGTAAAAGCATACTTCAATTGATTAATGGCAAAGAGAGATTCTTCGGTCCAGTGAAATCTTTTTTTGGTTAGAAGCCTTGTTAAGGAAACAACAATCACACCAAGCCCCCTAATAAATTTGCGATAGTAACCAGCCAATCAAAGAAAACCATGAAACCTTTTAGGTGAGGTCGGTACAGACCAAGTTATGACTGATTGTATTTTAGTTAGATCTACTGCCACGTCGTTGAAAGAAATTAGTTGAACCAAATA